GAAGTCGGACACTTAACCGACTGAGCCACCCAGGCGCCCCATATGACATTTATTTTAAATAAAACTTTGGGATTATCTAATGAAATGGGAAAGCATTTAAGTCCTTTTAAGAGCTAAGTAACTATAAGAAAAGCTACATTTGACTTGTAAGAAAGTCTTTTTAATAAAAAGAAAAATATGGGGCGCCTGGGTGGCTCAGTCGGTTAAGCGTCTGACTTCGGCTCACGTCATGATCTCGCATTCCGTGAGTTCAAGCCCCGCGTCGGGCTCTGTGCTGACCGCTAAGAGCCTGGAGCCTGTTTCAGATTCTGTGTCTCCCTCTCTCTCTGACCCTCCCCCGTTCATGCTCTGTCTCTCCCTGTCTCAAAAATAAATAAACGTTAAAAAAAAAAAAATTAAAAAAAAAAAGAAAAATAGGACAGTGATGTCAGCATAGGTCCCTTGGCCTAGACATAGGCTGGTAGGGTATGACAAGATGACAGGAATACCATAAGCGATAGTTCTTTAAAACATCTGTTTCCAGAAGCTAGAGATCAAATCCAGGGAATCACCAGTAGACTTGTGGAGATTCTAGATATATAGCTTCATAGTTCTCAAATAAAGAGCTTTATTGATTGAACTCTACTTGAATGTAAGGAACTTGGGTTAACCGTCGTATGTAACATAAATGCTCTGTTGGAAGTGCTCTGAAATCGGTTGTCTTCCAATATTGTCTCTACTTTGCACAAGTCAAAATATTCATATGACCGTCAACAGTAGATCTAGGTAGATTCCCTTCCGCAGTTCTGACTTTCAGATAATAGCTTTGTGATCTGTATTGCAGAGGAAAGCTTGGCATTATTAGAAAAAGTAAGAAAAAATAACTTTTAATTCTAGTATAGTATCTCTTGGTCTGATATGGAAAGTGTATCATATATATATTTAGTGTTTTTCTATATAGACATCAGTGTATTTGGTATTTGCAAGCCGAGGAATTCTATACAATGGTGCTCCCTGAAATTGTGAAACCCAATGATCTAGGATAGGAATTCTTATCCTTTGAGAGTTATGGCCTGTTTTGGGTTTGATGAAAGCTACCAATATTTTTCCTGGAAAAATATTTTGGTATTCACAATAACCCTGTGGATAAGACCTGTGGATAAGGAGCCTGACACTAAGACATTGATTGGCAGAATTGGTATCTGATCACAGATCTGTCTGCACGCTTATGCTCTACACCCCCAGACCATCTTCTTTTAATTCCTTAACAGAATCTTCTGTTAAAACTTAACTTTTTAACTAGAAATTTCAAAGTAATTTAAAGACAGTAACAGAATTGAAATATATTAAGAGTTCCTATTTTTTAAATATACATTGATATTATTTCACTATGTACACAGTAAGCAGAAGTCATCAGCATTACAACCAGAGCAAACTAAGCATTTTCAGAGCTTTTACTGGCCTACTTTGTCAGTCTTATCTCTTGTTCTTTCTACCATGAATCCTACCTGGAAGTCATACTGAATTACTTACTACCTATAGTAAGTGTCATGTTGACCTGTGAACACACTGTTCCTGCTCCCTGAGAATCATTTCTCATGTCACCTTGCTAATATCTTGTACTTGAAGACTCAGCTCAGATGTCACCTTTTCTAGGAAAACTTCCTTGCCCTCTGCCAGCCGCCTCCATCCTCTTAGATTCCCTTCCGCTATGCTGTCATTGTTCCCTCTGCATATCGCTGTCCTCATTCCCTGTATCAAGCTGTGCCATGACGGATGTCTACTTGTCTGCTTTTGCCACTATTCTGGGAACATTTCAAGGGCAGACATTATGTGTGTGTGTGTGTGTGTGTGTGTGTGTGTGTGTGTGTGTGTCTGTGTGTCTGTGTGTCTGTGTCTGTGTCTGTGGAGGGGAAGAGAGAGAAAGAGAGAGAGAGAGAGAGAGAGAGAGAGAGAGATCTGGATGAAGTATTGCTAGTGACTCCAAAAGTAATTTTTTCTTCTTGGCATCAAATATTCTCTCCTGTATCACTGTGTGAAGATATATTTTTTCCTAAAGAACTCTAACACATGCAATATTAATAGGGCCATATGCTACCCCTCTCTCAGCACCATGAATCACACTGATAACATTGAAAAATGTATTCTTATTTCAAAGGAATAATATGACCCCATTTCTCGAAACATGCATTCATGTTTTATCAGGCAATTGTTCCTTAGTAATTCAGTTCTATTTATTTTCTTGATGGCTTAAGAGGGGAAAAATATTAAAATATTAGAAGTTATTTTTTTACTGCAAATCTCAAAGTAATTTAAAAACCATAACAGAATCTCAACATATTAAGGGTTCCTGTTATCATTTTTAGATACATTGATGTTATTTCACTAAGTATACAGTAAACACAAATCAGCATTACAAAGATGAATAAAGTAGGAAGATAGAAATGAAAATAGTAATTTAAAGCAACTTTTTAAAAGAAGCCAATATGTCTTCGGGCACCTGGGTGGCTCAGTCAGTTAAGCATTTGTCTGAGTCTTGATTTCAGCTCAGGTCATGATCTCACAGTTTCCTGAGTTCAAGCCCTACGTTGAGCTCTGCGCTGACAGTGCTGAGCCTGCTTGAGATTCTCCCTCTTTCTCTGCCCCTCCTCCACTCACATTCTCTCTGTCTCTCTCAAACTAAATAATAAAAAAAAAAAAAACTTAAAAAAAAAAAGAGGCCAATATGTCTTTACAAGAGAGAATGGAGGAGGAATCTTTCCGTCAGTGGAAATTTTGGTTTTCCTTTACAGTATAAGACCTCATTTTATTATATGCTGAAAATATTATTACTATTTACAAGTTTTTCTTCTTTCCCCCCACCAGGCCAAATTTACCGATGACTGCAAGTTCAGGGAGCGATTCCAAGAAAACAGCTATAATACCTATGCCTCAGCAATACACAGAACTGAGCCAGCAGGCCGGGAATGGTATGTGGCCCTCAATAAGAGAGGGAAAGCTAAGCGAGGCTGCAGCCCGCGGGTTAAACCCCAGCACATCTCTACCCACTTTCTGCCAAGATTCAAGCAGCTAGAGCAGCCAGAACTTTCTTTCACAGTCACTGTTCCTGAGAAGAAAAAGCCACCCAGTCCTGTCAAGCCAAAGGTTCCCCTTTCTGCACCTCGGAAAAGTCCCAACACCGTGAAGTACAGACTCAAATTTCGCTTTGGATAATATTCTTCTTGGCCTTGTGAGAAACCATGCCTTCGCCTCAGGAGTTTCCACGGGTGTCTTTATGGCTCTGAAGAAAAACGTTCGGATACACCTGCAGCTACACTCCACCGTAGTGAAGTCCAGTCACTTGTTTCAGCGTGACTGAAACAAAACTGTTTTCTGATGGGAACTGAACTGGAATTCTTTGTCCAACATAGGGAGCACACTGCTTCAGTCAGGACGACATAAAGCCTTTTGCTTTATGCTTCATGCATACTCTGTATTTTGAGAAAGTTAAACAGCGTGGACTATGTATTTTTCTGACTTTTACAGATCAACCTGAAAGAACATACATGATACATTTTTATTTTTGGTTTCCAAAGAATATTTTGATGCAGATAAAATATTTTATTAACTTTTGTTTTTTGTTTTTTGTTGTTTTTTTTAAAAAAAGTACCTCTGCATTGAGCATATTTTCTTACTTTTATTTTAATTAATATGACATAACCATTTGAATGCAGTTTATGAATATAAATGTGTTTATAGCCCATTTGTAACATGTGGATTTTTTCATTTTTCTTATTCATCGCACTTTCATTTTTTATTTTTATTTTTTACCATACCTCAGATAATGTAAGTTTAGTCCATCCTCTTACACTGCTTAAATTGTCTTCAACAGCACCAAAAGCTCAGCTTAGATTTGTGTGTGTGTGTGTGTGTGTGTGTGTGTGTGTGTGTGTTTGCGTGTAAATTCATGACAGTATGTGGAATCCTACCCCTTTGGTGGCTGGGCTATAATGGCTTAGGAGTAAGGAGAAAATTAAGGGTTTTTTTGATGGTATTATACACTGGAGGTAAGGAAAAGGATTTGAGGCACAACTACACTAAGTCTGCAGCATTTACTGGGATCTGATTCTGTCTTGCCTTCATTTCTCCTTTTATCTACTCCCCTGCCCTCATTCTTGAACAGCTGGAGGAATACATTTTATTCTGTCCATCAAGCACACACTATGAAACCAGAGTGCTTAAAAATACCTCTTCTATGACCCTCTGCTATCCCCACTGTATAGATCCACGGGGAGCAACCCACTTAGCAGAAAAACATGGAAAATCGAAGAAGATGAATCGTGTAACAGTTATGCACGTCAAGTTCTGTTGTCAAAAATATTCTTATTACTCAGCCAAACACCCTTTGAGTTTGCTGTCCTAAAGGTAACCATCCCAATGAATAGATTGCCCTTTAGAATAGATACTCTCTGATGTATATTTTAAAAAAGGTGGCCGTGCAATAGGGGAAATTTAATTTGGGAATTTGATGATTGAAAATAGCACTTTAATTCTCAACCTGCATACTGAATGTTGGGCATAAATCACAGAAAATTGACTTAAGAGAATTTCTGTAATTTATTTACTTTCCTGGGCAATCATTTCTATGGAGTTCTATAAAATATAAGTGTTTATATCAGAAATGTGCCTGTAAAAAAAGGTACAGCTAATTCTCAGAAGTATGTCTTTCACAGGAAGAGCAGAAGAATTCACAGAAAGTTTCTGTTGTATGTTTAAGCATGCTTCTTTTCTTTTAAAGGATACTAACAAACTTTTCTAAAGTTTTGTTTATTTTGGCACACAAATGCAAAGTAGCAATTTATCACAATTGAACTTACTACTACTTAAGCAGATTGCCTTATTTAAATAGAAATAAACTATACACATATAATATATATGAAATCACCCATCAATGAAATCATCATGCCTCTACTCTAGTATTGTGTTTTATTATAAAGCCAATAGTCTGATTAGACATTGTTTGCATTTAATACATGATTTAAAACATATCAAATGAGATACTACAAAATTTTTATTTAATTTATAAATTAAAATTCTCTTGGGTTAAATGAAACAGGGTTTTGGAAACAAAATATGTCCAACTCTCATCCAGCTGGCATATCACCTTATATACACAGTACAAAGCTGAAAACAACCCTCTAGTTTACTCTCATATATTGTTAAGAATTGTACACCGTGTATCAAATTCTTAGTACACATGAAAAATTAAAATTGTAAAACAGAACAGTAGACATGTTCCTAAATGGGCAAGGAAAAGATGATATTAATGATGATTAACAACAAACTAAATTAATGCATATATTACATTAGGCTGATGCTGCTGGTAGTTTAGGTTAAACTGCAAAATAATAGCTTATCTTGTACTCTAGTATGATTTGATTAGTACATGAAAGTTAAAGTAGGATAGTTACTAAATATATATCATGCAAGTCAGGACTCATTAATTTCAAAATTTAAAGCCAAGCTAAAATTAAAAAAAAAAAAATTAAATTACACTTATCTTCAGTTTACTGGCCATACACAATTACATTTAATTAATGCTCACTGAAGCCTAAAGTTACCTAAATTAATTAATTGAATGAACTCATGTACAGAAAACACGTATAAATGTAACTCCTTACTAATACCTAGAACATTTGAAGGGGGTCCTTGCTTACGTCGTTTTTGATAATTTTTAAGTAACTTGGCCCGTCTAACATCAAATACAGTTGTTTAATCATGGTTACATTTACCTAAAAACGTCAATGAATTTGACATTAAAATTTAGGAACCTAATTTGCCTAGGAGACAGTAAATACCTTCCTATTGAGAATTCAGTTCTATTAATTATATTATGTTTAAGATATTCTTTATTTAGAACATCTATAGAAGTAAATAGAGGGTTCCAATAAGATGTAATAATACTGTGGTTTTATTTCACAAATAATACCATCACTTGTTTCTGACGAAACTAATTTGAGAGGGTGGATGTATATAAATTATCTTAGTTCATTTGCTGAGTTATAGTAGCCAGAAGTTCAAAATTATGTGATGATAATAAAGGATACCAACAAAAGTTATTTCTGAATATAATAATTATATTGCTTTAGATGCTTTTATTTCTTATGACTGAAAACAAAACAACCATCTGCCAGGTAAATTTTTTATAAAATTGATCTCGAACTAGAAAACTGAATAATTTTCTTACCTTGACATGTTTGCCCTTCCATAGAATGGAGGAACCAACTATGACTTCCCACATTTTCAGTAACAAAATGAAAATATTGCACTAACCAAAACCTTGAATTCTGGCACTGTGCTGGCATTGCTACAATGAGAAGCAAATGAAAATCACTTGTTGAAGAGATTCTATACCTCCTTTAAGATTTCTTTCATTGCTATATCTAAATGTTGATCATGTGAAATCTATTTTTAAGCCAATAATCTTTTTAAAAGGTTTTGAGAGAAGCTTTGAGACATGACTCATCTAATTTTTCTTTTAGTAGTCCAATTGTACTAACCAGTTTTTGAGACATGATTATCATATAAGTAGATATTAGTTGAAGAAAAGAGTTAGCTCTCCATCTAACTCTACCTATTGGAAAGTCTCAGGAGAGAGAAGGGAGGAGAACCCAGCCTTAGCTGAGTCATGGAGACACTCTTACATGTAAGAATCACAAACAACATTCAGAAACACTATGAGACAATTGAGCTACAAATCATGCATCCATATTTAAGCAATTTTATGTAATAAAAGAGTAGATCAGAGATCAAGAGCTCTTACATACTTTTTATTTTTGTTAAATTATCCTTTTTTTTCTGGCTCTGCCATATATCTACCCCACATTACTCTCTAGGCCTTGTTTTATAGTCCATCATATGATCTTTAATGTCATTTCCTGCTTTGTCATCAATGATCGTACAAGTCTTAAAATGTCGAGGTACTGAAGAAAGGACATGGTTCCTTCTCAGATAAAACTAAAAATTGATGTGCAGATTACACTGGATAACCACATGAAAAAAAATTGTCAATGAGGTGATAAACAGAGATATTTTTAAAAGAGATATCTGTCTTGGATTAAAAAAAATAAACTAAGCATGAGATTGGATCAAGAGATTTACAAAATGGGGATCAACTCTGGGCTTAGCTTTATGAAGGACTTTGCAAGTTTGAATGAATCCAGAGGGGAATGGTCAGAGTAGTATCCTTGTCGATAATTAATAGTTCTAAGACCTTGTCAAACATACAATTTTTCAACATCTCTGTTCTGAGTGAAATCCCACTTTCTCCATGAAGCCTCCTAGAAATTCATAAAGGAAGATAAGTAATCTCGTCCTGATGCCACTCCTCCAAATAAGTATAGCTTGTGACATACATTTCCTCCTCGTTCCCTTACTTTAGTATTTAGTATTTTCTGAGATCCTGCTTTATACAGGATCTCAACTAGTGAAACATTTCTTTATTTGCTCAATACTTGTTATTCAACTAGTGAAACATTTCTTTATTTGCTCAATACTTGTTCAGCATGTTCCTTGTGGATATTAACATCAATGTACGCTCAGAGTTTGAATTTCCGGAACGAGTATATCTGCCTTCATTGTACATGACCCAGCCCAAGTTCAGGCTGATAAAAAGAACTTCAGAAACACTCTTAGAGGATAGCAATTTTGAATGACATGTCTCTCTGACTTAAAGACTCCGTGGAGCCTATGGGATAGTCTACTTATTCCAGAACTTGGTATATAAATATATTTATGTATAGGTCCCTAGCATATGACCTAGCATAGGTCCCTAGCATATGAGCACAGGTGCTCAAAAATGCTTATGGAATGGATATAGTGCTGAGTAAGATTTGATGAAGATAATGATAACAGAAGTTCATATGACAGAGGAAATGGCTCCTGCAAGAAAAGGAACACCTGCTACCCCTCTCACTGTACTTGGACTTCTCAAACACAAATCCTGAGTCCAAACTAAAAATGCCAGGCACATGCAAGCTGCATTTAAGTATGAAGAAAGTACTCATTGTATGAAACTTCAATGTCGTTGGTAATCATAAAAATAGGTTACTGTGCAAATCCTGATGCTTTTGCTATTTGCAGGCCAAACAAGAGTCCAGTGGGATGTCAGTAGGTATCAGTGGGAGAGTGAAGATGTTTCTTTTTGGTAATTTATTTCTAGATGTGTTTTTTCCCCTCAACTCAGATAAACTCTCTCAGAGAAGACCGACGTTTGCTGTACCCTACAGAGAGATTAGTGAATACATAATCACAAGGTGACAGGTCTGGTTCCAATGTGTTTCTCATTAAATTCTCCGTCATTTTCTCTGTGGGAAACTGGAAATTTTATCAGATTTTCATAAAGGGAGGTGAATTTCTGCTGAGGAGGCAACACAATGTCTTTTACTCTCTGGAGTGCAATTATGTCTCTGCTTCCACAGCAACACCT